ATTTCAATTTGCTAAGATTTTGTGGAGGATTTTTGCATCTATGTTCATCAGGCATAGAGGTCTGTAATTTTTTTTTTCTTGTGATATCTCGGTCAGGTTTCGATATCAGAGTGATATTGACTTTATAGAATATAACATATATTTCCCCCTGAGCACAATTGATTTAACAAAGCTACCCATGTCGTTATAATTAACAGGTTCAGGTGTTAACCCTTCAGGAATTGCACCAACTGCAGAGAGCTGTCTCATAGGTGATGACCCTTCTCAAGTTGATTCATATCCAATGCTCTCTGAAGCAAGATTATGAAGATCCGGCTATTTGTCCTGACAAGATAATTTTCAAAGACCATTGTAGCTCAGCTCTCCCCCACAGAGACATGCAAAGCTGTATATCACAGTTCTATTTCCCCCTCTGCCACAAACGACTGCCATTTTCCACTACCTGCAACAGGTGTGGCCTACTAATGGGCACAAATTCATTGAGTAAAATGTGTTGCTGGGAAAACAGGATAATCAGTATCAATGCAGCATCCTGTATATTATTTCTAAGAGGAAATGCTATTTTAACAATGGAGAAAGCCAAGTGAACCAACTTAGCATCACAATGACAATAAAAATTTCATCCCATGAATCTAATCATGAGGGAACAGACAAGAACAGGTGCCCAGCTGCTGTGGTGCCCAGCAGGAATTTGGTTCCTCCAAATTATCAATTCCATGAAAGAAAAAACCTAGATAAAGTATTCTAAATTAAAGGAGATTAAAGAAATATAAAAACTAAATACAAAATCTACTCTGCAGTTAGATTTTATATCAAAATTCAATAAAATTTATTAGTAGGAAACTGAGCAAATATGAATGTGTTATCAACATGAAATTACTTGGATATGGTTATATATGGGGTTATAACAGAGAAAATTCTTTTTTCTTAGATAAATCATGCTAAAGTGCTTAGGAGAAAGTGTCATTTTGTCTACAACTTATCCTCAAATGGTTTATGGAGAAAAATGGTTTATGGAAAAATGGTTTATGTAGAAAAATGGTTTATGGAGCAAATGTATTATTATGTATACTTATCTAGAAAGATATTAAAATGTGGCAAGAATGTAACTAATTATGGTAATAATAGATCCCCATTAAATAATTCATTCAACTTTTTTCTATGTTTTGAATTTTTATCATAAGTTATATTAAAAATGCATACACTTAAATTCTTTTATCAGGGCTTTAAATATCTTTAGACAATATTACCAGGTTGCTTAACATTTTTAAATCCACTGGAAGCTAGAATAAAATACATATGTCATCAAATTTTCCAGAATAATAATTTTGATTCTTGATTGGTTAGAAAGAAAAAAATATTAAGAGAATTAGTTTTAAACCATTGAATAACCTTAAATGTAGTGAATTTAGTTTTGATTTTGCTCTTAAGATCTCACAATAGAGGAGTGTAGGGTAAGGAAAAATGTCAGGCTTTTCTGCCCTCCTTTTCTGCCAGCAGGATAGATGATGGATCCTTGCAGTCCTGAATGCATGCCTGATGGCAGGCACCTGGAGTAGGGTGTGGGCAGAGGTAGATGGGATTCACCTGGGCTGAGACTGGGCTTTTAAGGGCGACCTCACGGGGAAGCCAGCAGAAGCAAGAGAGAAGCCGAGAAAGAAGCAGCAGAAGCCTAGAGAAGCAGAGAAGGCCGGAGAGTCCAGATAGAGTGAAGACTTGCTGGGGGCTGGGAGGCCTGCCAGCCTCCCGCCCCCCAGCACCCTTGCCTGCCATGTACCGGGTGAATCCCAATAAAAGACCTGCAAAAACCACTGAGGACTCTGACTCCTCCTTTACCCGGTCTGCATGGGATCTTAGAAAACCTGCTCGGTGGCCTGTCCTGCCCTTACAAGGGGCCTCCCTGGTGGTGCAAGGGGTTAGGACTTGGCCCATGAAGCTGTCCACAGCCACTGCAGCATGAGTTTTGAGTCCCAGGCAGGGAGCAATTCACATGGCGCAGCAGACCTCTCCTGACTCACCCTCTGCTCTTCTCAGCAGTGTGTTTCAGTCAGTCTGTCTTTCTGTTTCCCACTCTGTCTCTGGTGGATCTTCTCAACCCAGCTCCTCTGGCCTATACCCCAGTTCTTGTATGCATGAATAAATAAAGCTTTAAAAAATCTCACAATATATAAGTGGACGTAGATGCAATTATCACTATGTATTTTAATAAGTTTTTTGAAAACATAGGTTTCCATCAAAAAGAGATTCTCTGGCAAAGAAAACCACCCCTTGCTATACTGAAAGCAATGCACTTCAGATCATGCTTAACTGAAATGTTGAGGGGATATGGTAGTTCTGGGAACTCTGTTCTCTCTTGCCAGTATCATCACCATGACAACCTCCATTACCTGTACTCATCTGCTAATTGATACTCCATGGGTTTTTTAACATTTTCTTCCATGTTCTTGTCTCAGAACATCACAAATTACTCTTAAGGGTACTGCGCAAGAAGGTTGAGACTGTGGTCAGTCTCCTGCTAAGAGTCCAGTCCGCTCACCACTTTGTGTCCGTTCTTCCAGGCCCAACAGCTTATCCACCAAATTCTGCATGGATCTTTGGCACATTTGTATTAAGTGAAGGATAAAGTAGATGCTGCCAGAAAAGGTTATCAAAATCTATCAAATGCATTAACTTAATTGTATCTATTTAAACACCCTCTCTGCTTCAATTTTAATCAGAGAAAACTGCAAAAATCACCACTGGAGTGTCATTCCCGTTTTGTTTTGATCCTATCTTTCCATATAACTTTTGTAGGACAACCTTCTGAATTGCTTCCAATTTCTTAATTATTACTATTTTTCAATGCGGATTGTAATATATACATATTCATTATGTATTTACTAGTTTTCCTTTGTTAAAATATTAATAACTAAGTGTTTTTTACCAGCCACTTTCTATAAATTGTTTTTTGTCCTACATCACTTTGGCAGGATTCATTAAAATTCCTACTAAACTGTAAAAACCAGGAAGTTAAGGGCTTTCTTTTTCTTAGCAACTATTGAAAGTTCAGCTGATAGCACAATTCAGGGCTGCCCTTTATGCAAGTGGGTGATAATATCTCCAAAAATACCCATGTCCTTGGTCCCAGAACTTGCGAATTCATTATATTACGTGGCAAAAGAAAATCTGTAGAGCTGATTAAGTTAAGGACTTGGGAATGGGGCAATTATCCTAGATTAACCCATTGGGCTCTCTACCACCACAAACCAGCCTTTTAGTAACAGGTGGGATGGTCAAGGCTGGAGCTCTGAAGAGGCTGTCAAGGATCTGAGGCTGGAGGCAGGACAGGAAGGAAAGCAGCGCCCTCTGGAGGGGAAAAGAACAGGAACTGTACTCACCTAGACCCTCCAGAAGAAACTGGTCTTACTGATACCTTGTCTTACAGTGACACTGACTAAATGGCTGACCTCCAGGAAAGTAAGATAATGAGGTGTGTGTTGTTTTAAGCTATTCTACGTGTAGTAATTGGCTATAGAGCAAAAACGAATGCATCAGTAACTAATCTTCAGATTTTAATCATCAAGGTAATTCTGAGATCATATGTAAATAGAGTCGGGATACAAAATGAGCTCTCTCTGAGAATAAAGCCTATGAGATTTTCATTAGATTTACTAAATTACAACAGTCACTCTCACGAGACAATTACATGAAAAGTGGACCATATGTTTGGCACAGAAACATTTTCAGCATTACATTACTTTACTCACTACAGGTAAAATAGGTGACCCAAGTAAATGCGTCCTCATATGTTTCAGTGAAGACTATGCATCTGTGCAGCAAAATCCTCAGCGTTTACCTTGTAACATTGGGAGTGCTCTTCTGCTTACTTGCTAGTTCATGCAGAATGTTTGCTTTCAGATAAACACTAAAATCACAGAGTTATCAAGACTGTCTTCATATGTTGAATACCCACTTATAAGTGTTTTAGAACGTCTCATATATAACAGTACAAGTTCAGCTGATTCCCTGAGGTGGTGTGTCAAATTTTGTTTGATATTATAATTAAATTGTGTATTTTTTCAGCACCCACATCTTAAAATATAAAAATTTTAAGATCAGGTTGGTTGAAATATAATTTACATACATGATACCACACCCACTCAGGGTGGTTCAAGGGTCAGCCAAAGATGTGGTCAGACAGAAGTCGGGTCCTTCTCTGTCCTTTTCAGAGAAGAAGTGGAAATAGGTATCTTGCCCTCTCTTCAATGGGACTGAATTACTCTGACTCCTCAATGAGGTTCTTTAGATCAGAAAGATGGTGGTTTCCACTATCCGCCATTCCCTAGCTCCTTGAGAGCCTGTTCAGAGCTCCAGGGGGAGAGAGAATGGAGATGCTGATTCATTCAGCGTCCCCCTGAATCAACATCCCTCACCTGCAGGCAGCTGCTAATTGTATTATCCCAAGATGTTGCCATTGTTCCGGCGGCAGCACCAGCCACTCCTTGGAACTTACTCTTGGAACTTACTCTTGGAACTTACTCGGTCACTCCCAGAAGCACAATTCAGTGTACACTGATTTTTGGACTTGGGTGGATTTAATAGACAAATGGACACTCAATAATAGATCAGTGGGTCTAATATGGTTCACAGCCCTGGAATACATACACGAATGATTAGAACATAAACATTTTCTACGGGATATATTTTCCCCACATTCTCTATACAGTGGAATATCTGCTAAGAATGTAATCTCTCACACCATATAGAATTAAATCTTTCCTATATTTCTTTGAATTGGCAATATTTGTAAAATGTAAGATCTCAGTCAATAAAGGGTACAACTTTTGTTTTGAAGCAACACTGCATTATTTCAGAGAGAGAGAGAGAATAAGTCGGTGATAACAGTGATTAAGAATGTTACAAATGAAAGTCCCAATATAAAAATAGAATAGCATTTTCATGAGCTGCTCGTCAGTCTTCATGTGCTTTGGTTATTACCCTTTTCAGCAGCCTCATCTTACCTGTGACTACGTCTTATATTGCCCTTTCCTGTAATGGCTCTGTATTTGTCCCTCGGCGGGATGTTGCGCTCATAACCCTCACACTTATTTCCATGATGTAACAAAACACAGTCTGTTGCTATGGCGATGATCAGCCTCTCCCAGCTTGAGCCACTGTGATTACAAGACTCTAGTGCTACACTCTTCTTTCAATTTTCAGAGATCGCTTTTGTTCTTCCACACACTTCAAATTCAGCACTTAATGTGCTTTGATTAATGTTTCAAAGTTTAACGGGTGTAGTGGTGTGTTAAGTGGTGATGCTTTATCTGCATTTTTGTAGCACCACATTGTTCCCTATGAATATTTCACGGAATCACCGTAAACGAGGTGTATCTGACATTTTAAAAATACATAAATCAGTGTTGAGATAGCAAATACATGTATTTTACAATTTGTTTACATGAGAGTGAGATAGTAGGACTTTAATCTCAAAAATGCAAACTGAATTATGAGGGAAAAATTATTTCAATAGTGTTTTGATTATTAAATATGGGTCAATCCCTGAATTATTGGAGCACAACGAAAATGTTCCTACCACAAGAGTCACCCAAAGTTTGACACTACACAAATGTTACCTCGAATTTATCAGACACATTTCAAAGAGCTCATTTGCCAGGTGAAATTGTATTTAAAATTGAAAGCACAAATTCTATGTTTTGACCTTCAGTGCTAAGTAGGTCAATAAGAGAAAGGCACCTATTTTATGTATATTTCTATATTTTAAGTATGTAAAAATCCTTTTATAGTTGTCAGTTATAGTTTTGTCCACAACTAAATATCCAGAAAGTGGTGAATTTTGATTTCATAAATGTAGTGAAACCATATGCCGCATTATAAATTTGCATATAGCAAACACACCATGAATTTCCTAGCTAGTAAAATTTACTGTTGAAGTTTTCATGTAATATTGAAATCAGTATTTTTGCAATAGGGCAAATTTTCCATGAAATGCAAAGTTGTTAATATGTCATCTATATAAATACATCAATTAATATATAGGATTATATATACAATTAATTAATATCCACTGATATGAAACATCACCCAAGAACCCATTACTCTCCTACCTCCAATTCATTCTGAAGTCCCATTAAATATCACCTAGTAATTTGAATTGGCATTAAAATAAAAGCCTGGACTTTATTAACTGAATCAAATTCTTTTCTTCCCCAGAACAAAGATACCCAAGCTTAAAGTGCTATTTAAAATTCACTAGATAAGAAAACCAATTTTGTGAACTCTTATCTAGCATTATCACCTAAATTTTCTCTTACAATTACTAATTTATGGACTGAGTAACTTATATTGTTTAAAAAATCATGGGCATTTAGATTCATCTATACCCATTTATCAACCTCCAAATTTGTTCAATATCAAGTAAATCTAAAAGACTGAACCCTATTCAGAAAGGGAGAAGATAAATTTCATAGGGAATGGAAATGTTTTCATCTATAGTACTGTGCTAAAAAGGGACATAATTTTTAAAATGAAAGTTTGGGTTATTTACAAGTTTATGTGTTTATACTAAAACCATGTATCTTCCAAGTACTATATTCCACACACCAAGTGGAATTCATTCTCTCAAGTTGCCTTGTTTTCAGTCTTGAAACAAATTTTCTCAAACAATTTTAATCCCCCATGATTAATTAGTAATATTAATGAATGGTCTTTGTATTTCATTAGAAAGAGTTATTCTTACCTAACAGTGAAGAGTTTCTGCTTAAGTCTTCCTCACCCCTAGGCACCCAGGGAGCTAGGTCAAGGTCAAAGCTGCCATGTTTACCCTGGAAAACAACGTCTACCTCCATTAAGCTCACACCAGCATTAGAGTTCTGCATAGCAGGAGAGCAATAACAATTGTGTTATATAATGATGTTTATGTTACACGATCTCAGAGGACCTCAGTCCATCAATCAAATATGACATTGTGTCCCTTATGGTCCTAGCAGTTAATGCAAATACTTACAAAAACATATCCCAGAGCAAGGGAGTATACATTTCAGTGTCAGAAGTGCTGACAGTAATTTTGAGTAGAGTAAGAGTTTTAAACAATATGGATAAGGCCTAAAGGAAAACATAGAACTTCAACTGGATCTTTACAATGAGAAAATTTTAGATGAATATAAATGTATCAGCTTGCAAAGACAGTTGGCATGAGGCATAACTTGAAGGTAAGGACCATGGGGAAGGTGAATCAACTTCTGCAACATGCCAACAGCTGTATTGCAGGAGACAAATTGAAACTATCTCCTAAGTTTCGTGGCCTTTCTCTTGAATAGCAGAACTAATCTATAACTTAGAGATGGTTCCATAGAAATCACTTAAGCATTTTTAATAACTACTTTACCTTTCACATAAGAAAAAAATGCTGTGTTTTAAAATTGTTTGCCAAGTTAAATAAAAATTATATTTAATTTATATCAGATTCTATTTTTCAAACTTTAAATGCTATTAATCAAAATCTGAAGTAAATATTTAGTTTCTTACAACTGGATTTTACCTCTTTTTTAAGTGACTGAATTTATATGAACACCAAATATCATACTGCGCTTATTGGAGACACGCAGCAACAAATTCTAATCACTTAAAATTTTTAAGATGTTCTTAAGTTTCATCTTAAATATTGAATTTTTTCTCATGGATGTTTCTAGTTATTATTTTTAAGGAAACTGAGTAAAAATAGGCTTAGAATAGTTTGAATTGATTATACTTCATCCCACATTACCTTGAATGAAAATTATTAATCATGCATTTTTTTATTTTTTATATATCATTTTGATCTATTTGAGCAGTTCTTACACTCCTGCTGATAGATTCCTAAAACTGGGTATTAAAACCTTGTGATATGTTGAGGAAAGAAAATATTAAAACATGTTTATGATTATGTCTTCCCTTCTTAACCTGAATTTCATATAGGCATGTGAATGTGTGTTATTTAAACCATGTTATGACTATAATGGCACATACACATTTAGAAGTTACAAATATACAAAAAAAACCTCAAATTGATGCAAGGGTTTTACCAGCAGATTCCAAAGACTTGAGGTATTAGAATGCCTTAAATTAGAATTAAGAATTGAATTACTGGTTTTATATTCTATCGTGTCATCTTTTCAATTTTTAGCAATTTGTCTACACAATAGACTTAATATTAGATATAATTACAGTAAACCTGGACATAAAACTTGGGAAAATTCACCTTTAAATCACGTCTTACTTTTAAAATGTGCCCAGAAAACTGAATATATGAGCTGCAAACATAAACTTGAGGACACAGCAGATGACGTAAATGCAGTTTGTTCAAATAAAGGGATCAAACAAATATACAGAGTATAAAGTAGAAATTCAATTTCACTGGAGGACCTGCTTCTCCTGGAAGTGCCTCTGATAGCCACTACCACTGGGTTGGAGAGAGCATTACTTAAAGAGGAAATTGCATAAACATGAAAATTTGTGATTCGTGCAGTACCTAATCTAATAACATCTAAAAAAAGATTACAACATGTTTTCAGAAAGGCTTAATTTATCTAATCAGGATTTATTATTGCTTTTGATTAGAGCTCATATTCACTATGTTAATACAAAATAACACCCCGACCAAGGGAAGTTATCAACTGGATAGAAAGAGCTATTAATTCTCTTCCCTCAACTTTAGCCGATTTGTCCTTTAAATCCTTTAAGTTCCTCTTTTAAACCACATGATTCTAAACATATCACCAGAGCAACCATATGGGGCATCCTAATTGACCACACAAGGGAATAGGGTTTCCACACTCATGTAATTTGGGGATAGTGCAGCGATCATTTTCCTTGACCTGATCAAAATTACTAATCCTAACATCTACAAATCTGTTTGCAAATTGGAAAATCTCTTATAGTTTTTTCCTCTGGAACACTATGCCATAGTCGCAAAGAGTCATGGGTCCATTTTACACAGGGTTGGAGCTAGGATTATAGCATCATGGTTCTCCACATATGATGCAGGTCAAATGTGGCATTGCTGGCATAAATTATAAAATCAAATGTAGTAATGTGTTTGATTCAGTTTATTATTTTATTTATTTAAAGTAATATTTAATAATAAGAAAGAGCATGCTTTTTTGCCATTTTTATGCTGTAGATATTTTCTTGAACAGTGCAATAGATCAAGGATCTATTAACACCAAGAACTGAACCATTTAGTGTGTACAACAGTGTGGCAGCTAGACTCTAAGACAACCCCTGTGGTCGCCATGTCTTGGTGTCCATGTCACGTGTACGCCTTCTCCTTGGTAACAAATGCAAACAGGAAGCTCATTTTATGCTGATGACTAAACTGTGTCACTTCAGTAGTTGAAGGAAGGATTAAGAGGCCCACCAGGAGTCTTCATAAAAAAAGAAACTCTTATTGATAGAAATCAAAACCAGCACACTTTCAAGGTTTGGGTAAGTTTGGTGTATTTTCCTGCTCACCGAGCTGTCTAATATTATCTGAGGGACCCACTGTTTGATGTGAAGTAAATTATTAATATTGAGTAGGAGCAGGCAAAAGAATGTTATGGGTGTCATCGGTTCTGAGTTAACAAATAGTATAGAAAAAGTCACAGGCTCTAATTACACACCACCTGATTATTTGCAAAAATCGACTACATGACTATGTTTGTGCTATTATTTCACTGATATTTCTATGAAATGACTTTAATAGTAGACTATTTCTCAGCATACCATTGGAATATGAAGAGTGCATTGAGATATATAAATGAGAAGTATGCCTGCATTCAATCTGAGAAGACTCTTCTGTGGTATGCCGAGTCAGATTTCCAATGGGATATGTAAAAGGTATATGTCAATTTTACTTCCCTTTTGCTATTCCTAATTGTCACGCGTTTGCGCAATGAAAATCAACGCCACTGTTCTTTCTACCTTTAAGAAAAATTTTATTAAATCTAGATACTATTGATTTGATAGGAATGTTATTATTACCCTGGTTATGTTGAATTTGGAGTACATTTTCAAGGATTTCTATTTCATTTTGGAAATAACATACCTAAACAT